ATGGATCCAACCTTTTGGTGGATCTCCATGACCACCTCCAGCACCAAACCCCTGGATTTTGGCAGGATCTTGTCCTCATGGATCCAACCTTCTGGTGGATGTCCATGACCACCTCCAGCACCCAAACCCCCCGGATTTTGGCAGAATATCTCTCCAAGACGTCGCACAATCGGGCCGGGGGGGGAAGGGAGGGGGTTTCTTCTGGTGGTCCCAACTTTGAGTTCACTCCCTTCCATGTGTGTTTGTCCCCCCCCTCCTCCCCCAAAGCTGTGACGAGACCAACCTCTACTGGTACCAAGGCAACCGTTGCGCGTCGCGGGTCAGCAAGTTGGGCGTGGGCTTGGGCGTGGCCGTGGCCGTCCTGGCCGTCACCGTCGCCGTCCTCGTCGTCTTCCTTGTCCGGGCCAGGAGGTCCCACCTGTCCCACGGGTGAGGGGGGACGGGACCCCTGGGTGTCCTCCCTGGGGTGGGAGAACCTCGTTGGGTGGTTGGTTTCTGGGTGTTCCTCGTCGTGGGTGAGGTTCTGGGGGCGGAGGGGGATGGACTGGGAGGGACTGGGATGGACTGGGATGGACTGGGAGGGACTGGGAGGGGACTGGGAAGAGATTTGGAGGGACTGGGAGGGACTGGGATGGACTTGGGGAGGAGTGGGAGGGACTGGGATGGACTTGGGGAGAAGTGGGAGAGAGTGGGAGGGACTGGGAGGGGACTAGGAGAGAATGGAGGGGACTGGGAGGGACTGGGAGGGGACTGGGAAGGGATTTGGAGGGACTGGGAGGGACTGGTAGGACTGGGTGGGATATACTGGGATGGACTGGGATAATGGGATATACTGGGGGGATATTGAGAGGGACTGGGAGGGGATTGGGATATACTGGGATGGACTGGGAGGGGATTGAGAGGGACTGGGAGGGACTGAGGTATACTGAGAGGGACTGGGAGGGGACTGGAGTATACTGGGATGTACTGGGATATACTGGGATGTACCGGGGGGGATTGGGAGGGACTGGGAAGGGACTGGGATACAGTGGGATATACTGGGGGGACTGAGAGGGACTGGGAGGGGCTGGGGGGGAATTGTGATATACTGGGATGGACTGGGGAGGCAACTGGGATGTACTGGGACATACTGGGATGTACTGGGAGGGAGACTGGGAGGGACCAGGAGTGGAGTGAAAGGGTCCTTCATGGGCTGGGGGGGGGGATGGAGGAGCTGGGGGGGGGGGCCAGCAGGGCTGGGCCCCCTGGTGGGGACCCCCCGTCCCCCCCCCCCCCCCCCCCGTGTCCATCAGGGACCAGAAGATGTTGGAGCAGTGGTACCAGGACACCAGCGAGGAGTGGGACCGCCCGGGGAGCATCACCTTCCACAACCTAGGTGGGTGGTTGGGGGGTCCCCGGTGACCCCCCTGGGGTGGGGGGAGTCGGTTTGGGCCCACCCTGACCCCACCCCACTCACCCCCAACCCTGTCCCGCAGGCGCTCAACTGGAGGATGACTACGCGCTCGACCACGGTGCCATGGAGCTGCCGGCGCCGGTGAGTCCGTTGGGACGTTGGGTTTGGGACCCCCCGGGTCTTCCCTCCACGTCTGACGTGTCCCAACAGGTCCGGATCCCGAGGCCTCGGGAGATCGTGACGGGGTTCTGAGGCGCGGCGGCGCCGGGAGCGCCGGGGAGGTGATCGACGCCGCGGTGTCATCGCCATCGTCATCGTCAACGCCGACATCGTCATTGGCGGTGGCGTCATCATCATCGTCAACACCGACGTCATCATCATCGTGAAGGTCATTGGCATCATCATCATCAACGCCGACATTGTCATCGGCGTCGGCGGCGTCGGCATCATCATCGTCAACACTGACGTCGTCATCATCGTGAAGGTCATCGATGCCGTCGTCGTCATCACCACCATTGTCGTCGTCATCATCGCTGTCATCACCGTCACCGTCATCGTCACCATCATCATCGTGAATGTCATCAACACCATTATCATCACCATCAACACTGTCATCATCACCATCAACATCATCATCACCATCAACACCATCATCACCATCAACACCGTCATCATCACCATCAACGCCATCATCACCATCAACACCATCATCACCATCAATGCCATCATCATCACGAATGTCATCAACACCACCATCGTTATCATCATCACCATCATCACCATCACCCTCATCCCCACCTCCACCACCATTTTTAGGATGGTGACCCCATTTTGAGGATGGTGACCCCACTTTCAGGATGGTGACCCCACTTTTAGGATGGTGACCCCATTTTTAGGATGG